TTCCCTCCCCTCGCCATCCCCTTCCCCCTCCCTCTCCCCCTCTCCCCCGCATACCCGTGAAAGTTCAGATACTTTCGTAATGGAAGAACGAGGAAGTGAAGAAGAATTTTCTCTTGTGTTTCCTCTTCTATCTTACTCGTGCTAACTCTCTTAACGGAACAGCTTATATTTCAGCATTCTAATATATATAAAGATACAAGTGCATACAAGTTTTTACGATACATTTTTCCATACAAGATGTTTCATCGATTATAATACAGATCAGAAGGAGAGGGGAAAATATAAATCGAAGATGGGATAAAAAATTTCGATTTGATCGAACTAAGGTTGGAAATTATATTTTCGAGAAAAACGAAAGATTTATCGAACAGTCGTTCAATTATTCGAGAAATTTTCAAAAAAAAAAAAAAAAAAAATCTTCGCAACTTTTTCATCTTCTTCAATCTTCTTCTTCTTCAATTACCTTGAAATATCTGATGCATCGTCCTTCATATTCCATCCAGCAAGTCATCTAAACACGAAGGTTTTTCACGAATCGAAAATCGAAAAAAAATAAAAAAGACAAAGAACTAAATCCCAACGTACAGTCAAGGAATCTCGAAACTTTGCTTCCTCAAAAAGAACTCCACTCCACTTCGAAATCACCAAGAGCAACTAGAGAGAACTACGTACAAGTCAAGAGACACCAGACCTCTCCCAAAACTCGAAGCCTCTAAACCCCCTTAATACTCCCCAACGCCTGGAATCCATCTAGTATATCTCCCCTCGACCATTCCACAGCGTTCTGAACCAGCGTTGCAAACCTCCCTCCCTCCCTCTCTCTCTCTCTCTCTCTCTCTCTCTCTCCCTTTCCCTCTTACTCCCTCTCTTTCTCTTTCTCTCTCTCTGTCTCGAATCGAGCATAACGCGTAGACGAGATCTCTCAATGGGTGGAGTTGGAAGCTTGTCACCGGGACACGGCTCACCCCCTCGGCCAGCCACCGAAATGAAGCGCGAACGACCGCTTTCAGGTGGCACTCACCCCGCCTCCTCGCGGCGCATTAACCTTAACGACCTTTTACCAACCTCTTTTTTTTTTTTTTTTTGAAGACGATCCAGGATTTTTTCCTGCCAGTTCCTGAGATTGCCGTGTCGCCAGCTCAGCACCTCTTAATGTTGCCTTTTTCCACCCCCTCCTCCCCCGTCCGTCCATCATGCGATTTCCCTTTTCTCTCTCTTTCTTCCTTCTCAGCAGAGTTTTCGATACGCTGCTTTACCTTGCTTTCTCGCTGTTATTTGCGATACTCGTGATACAACGTAGTTATCAACCACGTAATGAAAAAAGAGTTTGAGAATTTTTTTTTTGGAATTCATTTCTGATCAATTTTTCATTAGAAAAGCAATATCGATGGCGTTTTATTGTTTTTAGGATATTGTCAGAAGTGTGCTCTGTATCATCATAATTAGAGAAAAAATAACGACATTTGCAATTAATTCATAGCGATGGATAAAAGAACATACAGGTAATTATCAAAATTTGCTAGAGGCGATAGAAGCAGAGTAGTATCGGGGGATCGATTAAAAATTTCACACCGAATATATCTGACAATACCCGTTCCCTTACCCGGGCTATTAATTACGAAAAAGTTTTTGACGGACGGGTAATTATCCTTTAACGACGTCGTGACCATTTGTTCCGCGAGAAAGCGACCAAAGAGATTAAAATCAAAACTAGAGATTAAAATCGTGCCACGATAAAATATCCCTGGAAGGAGGATGAACGCTGTTTAATGGGGATGGAAGAAAAAGAGAAGAAGAAAAGAATGTGGAAAAGTAAAAATTTGACTCGAAAAATTATTAAAAAAAAAAAAAAAAACCCACCAGTGAATAAAATATTAAATTTCCCACCAGAGATTAGGCGCGATATTAACTGCGGATTCCTGTTACAAGGGATTAACGAAACTCTGTTG